GATTCGTTCTTTGAAATTTTAACTTTTCCCTTTTTCTCTTTTTTTTTCCTTCTTCTTCTTCTTCTGTTTTTTCTTCTTTTTTTTTTTTTTTTTTTTTTTTCGAGTCGACAAAAATTTCCGTCTCTGTCGCCTCGGGACGATCGAATAATCATTTGGCTTCTTCCACTTGAGAAGAAAAAGGAACGCAAAGTCAGACGCCGTTTTACTGGCCGACTTGATCTCGATGGCCGTGAAGTCGATCAAATAGAAAACTTGTAGTGCCGGCGCTTGAACGTTAAAAAATTGATAAAAAGAAGAAGAAAAAAAAAGAAAGAAAGAAAGAAAGAAAGAAGAAAAGAAACGAAAAAAAACGAAAAAAAAAAAAAAATATATATTAATTAAAAGGAACGAGAACAACAACAGTAACAATGACGATGGAACAACGAAAACAAATAATTTCTGTTGAAAAAATAATGGCTTACAAGGGAAAAAAAAATGAATCTGTCTACTTACCTTTTTTTTTTTATCTATCCCCCCCCTCTCTTCATTCTTCTCTCTCTCTCTCTCTCTCTCTATTTCTCTCTGTCTGTCTCTCTTTCCGTTTAAATTTCCAGACTTTTCTGTAGTCGATTTCTCAGCTGTACGGATATGGGCTAATAATTCTTGAGAAAAAGAGTGAAAGGCTCGCTGACGTGTGCTTATGGCAACGAGAATTTATTACAACAAAGTTGCATTTGAAAAAAAAAAAAAAAAAAAAAAAAGGAAAAGAGAAAAAAAAAGAAGAAAAAAAAAGAAAGAAAGAAAAAAAAAAGAAAAGAAAAAATAAAAAAAGAACGAAATATGACGATTGGCCGAACGATACATGAGAAAGAGCTTTTATACAGTAAATATTATCTACGTTACATGCCTTTTACAAGCGTGAGAATTTTTCTTAAAGTTATAACATGTTCGGAGTCCTTTCTCTTATTTCCTGTATTTTTTCTTTTTTTTTTTTTTTTTTAATCTCAATGAAAAATTAAAAGAACAAAAAAAAAACGAGAAGATCCTTTGAAAGTTGATATTTTTCTTTTTTTTTTTCTTTTTTCTTTTTTTTTTTTTTTTTTTTTGTTGATTTACGAAAGAGTCTATACAAAAGTACAAAAAATTTTCTTTCATCATTCTTTTTTTTCTTTGCGTATAACGATAATAATAATAATAATAATAATAATAATAATAATAATAATAATAATAATATTAATAATATTAATAATATTAATATTAATTAATAAGAAGAATTATTAAAAGCGATTGATTTCGTATACATCAGCGATGGCGAACTCGTAGATTTTTTTTGAAAATTTAACGAAAGTTTTGTGAATTATTATAGAAAAAAAAAAAAAAGAAAAAAAAAAAAAAAAAACAAAAAAAAAATTATCACCTCAAAAAAAGATCTCAAGATTTGATCTCATTTTATTATTTCTTTCTTTCCTCCTCCCCTCCTCGGCCTTTATAACATTGATTGGAAAAGTGTTAAATATTAAAATTTATTTTATTGTCATTCAATTTAAATTATTCAATTTGTAAATAAACGACGCTCGACAAATGCAACATTTTCTTTCGATTCGATTTTGAGCTTAAACGCGTCACGAAAGGAGTAAAAGAGAAGGAAAGAAAAAAAAAAGAGGGAGGGGGTGGGAGGGCGAGGGGCGAAACAGAAAAAGAAAGAAAAAAAAAACGAAAAAAAGAAAAACAAAACAAAAAAAAAGAAGAACAGACAAAAAGAAGAAAACGTTCGCGCCATCGCTGATACGTATGAATGAGGGTGACGAAAGGTGAGGAGAAAAAAAAAAAAAAAAAACGGGGGGGGGAAAGAAAGAAAAAACAAAAGAAAAAAGAAGGAAGAAAGAAAATCAAGAAACGATATGAGAGAAAAAAAAAAAAGAAGAAGAAGAAGGAACGATAGGAAAAGCTCCTCCATATTGAATATATCATTTCTTATATATCGAGCTGAAGGATGAGGGGAAAATGGACTTTCGCAAATTTCTTAATTCGATTAGGTCTCTCTCGAAGGGAACGATACTACGTTATAAAGTTCGTTGAAAGGTCGTTCGCCGTAGAGTTCGTTCGGCGCGAATTACACGGTGGCATCGTTACATAGCAAGAAAAAGGAACTATCTCGAAAGGTTGAGGTAATGAGGAAGAATGAACTAACGTGTTCTAAAACGATACGAAAGAAAGACAAAAAAAAAAAAAAAAAAAAAAGAAAAAGGGAGAAAGGGAAAAAATAAAAAAAATAAAAAAAAAAAAAAAGAAAAGAGATAAAGAGACAGAGATAGATTGATTAGACACATTAAGATAATTCTAAAAAGGTTCGTTTCTCGTCAATTTGAGATACATACATACCACCCATTCATGACGTAAATACATGAAGGAGACATTTGTAAACGACTATAATGTTTGCGCCGTTACCAAAATATAATTAATAATTCATTTTAATTAATTCGTTCGTTAACATAAACTCAACTTAAACTCAATTCAATTCGATTCGATTCGATTCGATTCGATTCGATTCGATTCAATTCGACTCGACTCAATTCAATACAAATCAATTCAATTCAATAAAACCTTAAATCTAACAGTAAATATTAAACATTAACATTAAAAAAAAAAAAAAAAAAAAAAAAAAAAAGAAAAAAAAAAAAAAACACGTTAACATTAACTTAAACTTAATTTCTAAATTAATATTATACTTAATTTAAAAGTAAAGCGTCGAAAACGCTGCCGTGACAAGTCGGTAAAATGTTCGGTCGCAGCTGCGGAGCCTTCTTCTATCGAGAAAGAAGAGCAAAGGAACAAAGAAAAAAAAAAAACAGAAAAAAAAAGGAAAAAAGAAAAAAAGAAAGAGAGAGAGAGAGAGAGAGAGAGAGAGAGAGAGAGAGAGAAAAAGAAAAAGAAACGGCAAGAAAAATCAATCCAACGAATTCTTTCCACTTTCTTCTCTTATTTGTTCTTTGTCTTTTTTTTTTTTCTTTCCTTTTTCTTTTCTTTTCTTTTTTTTTTTTTTTTCTTTTTTTTTACACGTTCGACAAAAGAGACAAAAATTAACGAAGATAAAAAATCGATCATACGAAGTCTTCTGCTTTTTTTTTTTTACGTTCAATAAAAAGAAAAAAAAAATAATAAACAAATAAATAAATAAATAAATAAAACAGATCAATCTCGAACGAATTCTTTATATTTCTTTTTCTTTATTTTCGATGTGTTTGATAAAAAAAAAAAAAAAAAAAAAAAAAAAGAGACAAAAAAATCGATTGGACGAATATTTCAATATCTTTCTTTCTTTCGCCGCGCAATCGGATAAAAAGAAAAAAGAAAGGAAAAAGATATTTTCCATTTCCAAAAAAAAAAAAAAAAGGCTCGGGCAGCTGCTACTCTCATTTCGTATTAACCTCTTCATCGCAGAAGCGTCATCTCCGATATTTATTACATTTTATCTAATCAACGTATTAACGTTCGCCCCCCATATTATGCACGTATTTTCTCGATCTTTCTTTTTTTTTTCTTCTTCTTTCTCTTTTTCTTCCTTATTTTCTTTTTTCTTTTTTCTTTTTTGTTTCTATTTTTCCTTCGAGATACGACAAAGAAAGAAAGGAAAAAGGAAAAGAAAAAAAAGAAAAAGGAAGGAAAAAAACAAAAAAAAAAGAAAAAAAAAAGGAGAGAAAAGAAAGATGTGCAAAGAAATCGATTAAATTACACAAGGAACGTCGTCCGAATTAACTATTGTCTATTTAAGAAACAAACATTATTATTATTATTATTATTTTTTTTTTTTCTTCTTTATCTCATTTTGCATCCTCTGTCCTTTTATCATGCTCTAACGAATTTTAATTAACGTCCATCTCGTTTAATATTTTCTTTTTATAAAAGTATATATATATATATATATATATATATATTTTTCATTTTTCTTTTCTCCCTTAATAAACCAAATCAAATCAATTTAATTCTCGTAAAACAGGATCGATGCAAATATAGCCTTTGAGAGTCCAAAAAAGAGAGAGAGAGAGAGAGAGAGAATAAGAAAATCAGAAAGAAAGAGAGAAAGTATGAAAGAGAGAGAGAGAGAGAAAGAGAGAAAAAAGAATCATTTCGAGTAGGCGGCTAGCATGCAAAGCGATCATCGATGAAGGTCACTCTTGTACATACTTAAGACAAAATAACGTTAGAAAAGTTCATGATAGTTTCTTTAGAATCAACTTTTTGTAAGGGACAACTCATCGATCTCGCAATCGATCGATCGATCGATCGATCGATCGATCGATCAACTGTCAAAAGTCCAATATATTTCGTATATTTTGATGTCTTAAATAAAAAAGAAAAAAAAAAAAAAGAAAAAACGAGAGGAAGGAAAACAAACGAAAAAAAAAAAAAAAAAAAAAAAGAAAAGAAAAGAAAAGAAAAAGAAAAAAAGAGGAAGAAGATGAAGAAAAAGAAAAATTTCGATCGCTTAAAAATTATAATATTCTGTGAGGCAGTTGAGTTGGCAAGAAAACAAAAAGGAAATAGTAGTAAAAAGAAAAAGAAAAAAATTAGAAGAAGACAAAGATGAAGACGAAGAAGAATAAGAAGTAGAAAGAAGAAAAATTAA